AGAGACATAGAGACACAAAGTGAGAAATCACCCCCCAGGGGGGATGGTCACGCTGCAATCCCTTCTCCTCCATTCTCCTCTCAGGATCTTGGGCACGCACGCACACGCGCCCAGCGTGGGTTTTAAGCCACCGAGTCCGGGACACGAACAGCGGTCGACTACGTGGGAATCCAGAGACATAGCCATTACACTAACTGCTGGTTCTCTTCCCTCCCCTTCTTGCACAAGAGGTGCAAGAAGTTCTTGCTGGGTATCAGGCAGTTCTTTCTGGGTATCAGGAGGAGTGCCTGGTTTCTTTTCTTCTCCATGGACCTTGTGACTAATCTCTGCCCACCACTGAGACCCCTCATGCCAGCCAGAATCCTCCGGGTGGTGGGGGGAGGGTGCTGAGACCCAGCCCCCAGAGAAAGACTGACAGACTCTTTGCACTTTGTGTCCAAGGCCAGGGGGCTTCTTCTCCCAGGGCCAGGCCAGGGGCCAGGATCAGTGCTGCTTTTCTGAACCTTCTTGGCCAACCTCTCTACCTCCTTGACCCTTTCACAGATCATTACCTCAGAGGAGGCAGAGCGGCGCGGCCAGGGCTACGACCGCCAGGGTGCCACCTACCTCTTCGACCTGGACTATGTAGAGGACGTGTATACCGTGGATGCCGCCTACTATGGCAACATTTCCCCCTTCGTCAACCACAGTGTGGGTGCTGGCAGGCGGGCAGGCGGGAAGGCGGGCAGGCGGGCAGGTGGGCAGGCAGGGCAGACTGGGTCCTTCTCACATTCCCACTGTTCTTTCTCGCCCAGTGTGACCCTAACCTACAGGTGTACAACGTCTTCATAGACAACCTCGATGAGCGGCTTCCCCGCATTGCTTTCTTTGCCACAAGAACCATCCGGGCAGGCGAGGAGCTCACCTTTGATTACAACATGCAAGGTAGGGTTGGCAGGGGACTGGGAGCAGGGATACACAGTGATGTGGGACACAAGGACCCTTCCCCAATGTATCCCAGCCATTAAGAGAAATTCTTTAGCTGGAGCTTTAAGATGGTCTTCCTGACTCCCAGTGTCCCACCTAGACTCCCAGACCCCTACCTAGCCTTTGGGGGAGGGCTCCAGTCCCCTCATTCCCAACCCCAAGATGCTTAACATCTCCCAGGGCTCCTGGGGAAGGATATTTGTCTGGAGAGTTAAGATACTCTCCTAATTCCTGTCTTGAGTGAAATTCCCCCC